TTGGGCTCAATCCCCAGGGTGGGGTATGCAGCAATTGATCGATGATTCTCTCTCATTATTGATATTTCTATCTCAATAGCCCTCTTCCTTCCTCTCTGAAACCAATAAATAATATATATTTTCAAAATGTTCAACAAACTTGAAAGAAGAACAGATAAACTCAGTGAGAACTTCAATAAATATACTCAGTATCCCAAAAAAATATGTGTACACACATATTATACATTATTAATTTTAATGGGTTAAATCTGAAAAAAAAGAAACATCAATTGATTATCAGCTCTTAAAGTGTGTATACATTTTGGGAACACCCTGAATATATACAAATTATTAATTTATTTTTATAAATATTCCATTAAATGGAATTTTTATAATATTTTATATTTTTGTGCTACAGTTGACCATGTATAGCTAAAACTGTGAAAAACAAAACCATAAATAAGGGAGAATTAGTGTAGTTCTTATTATTGAGAACCAAGCAGGAAAGGTCTCTTTACTAAATAGTGTTGGGAAAACTTTTATGCAGTGAAGAAAATTATCAGCAAGACAAAAAGGCAACTTACTGAATAGGACAACATATTTGTAAATAATATATCCAAAAAGGGGTTCATATTCAAAATACATAAATCATACACTCAACATTTAAAAAATATAATTTTAAAATGCACAGAGGATCTGCATATATATTTCTCCAAAGAAAACACAGATGACAGACATATTACATATGCAAAAAAAAGTGTTCAACCTTACAAATATCAGGGAAATGCAAAATAAAACCACCTGTCCGAATGTAATTATCAGAAAGACAACAAATAACAACTTTTGGCAAGAATAGGATAAAAAAAGAACCTTCATGCACAGTTGGTGGGATTGTAAACTAGTATAACCACTATGGAAAAAATTAAATTAAAAATAGAACTACTGCATTGTTGAGGAGCACACGAAACTTGGTTGGAAAGTTTGTAAGGAGGACATTACAAGAAAAGGGATGTGTGCTGAAGGCTGCCCACCCTGTTTATTGGAGTTCCAACTTAGGGGAGTGCCTAAGGTGGTGCCCCCAATTATTCCTTAACCTTCCCAAACAAGTCTGTGCATGTGCAGACCCCTGGTGTTTTCTGGAATTCTTATGCTTAATCTTTGGGTGTCCTTGCTTAAAGGACACTACAAACACATGTGTCCTCCCAAGTTTACTTACTCTACTGGTTACATCTAAAAGATAAACTTTAGATGCTACAATAAAAGCCTAATAAGATAGGCAATCAAGGCTATCTGGTTCCTTTAGCCAGGCAATCCCTTAGCCCTCTCTTTCACATCAAAGCTTATGTCAGAGTAATCCATTCATCCATCACTCAGGGTCTGCTGGTCAGCTCTGGCATTGCATAATTCAGGAATTTTACTTCTGGGTATTTATGTGAAGAAAACAAAAGCAATAATAATTCAAAACATATATGCACCCCTAGATTCATTGCAGCATTGTTTACAATAGCAAAGACATGGAAGCAATTAGGTATCCATTGAGAGATGAATGGATAAAAAAGATGTGGTGTGTGTATATACATATAATGGAATATTACTCAGTCATAAAAAAGAATGAAGTATCCAAATTGGAACAATATGGATGGACCTAGAGAGTATTGCATTAAGAGAAATAAGTTGAACAGATAAAGATAAATACCATATGATTTTACTTATATGTGTAACCTAAAAACAAAACAAATAAACAAACAAAATGAAACAAAAAAAAACTCATAGATAAAAAGAATAAACTGATGGCTGCCAGAAGGAAAACAAAGTAGGAAGAAAAGAAAAAAAACATTCAATCAGAGCAACAAAAAGAAAAAAAAAATTTTTTTAAATGAGACAACATGAAACATAATAATAGCAGCATCATAGGCATACTAGAAGAGAAGAAAGTGAACAAGAAATATAAAACTTGTTTGAAGAAATGATGACAGAAAACTTCTCTAACTCGGTAAGGAAAAAGTCACACAAGTTCAGAAGCAGAGAGACTAGTAATCTAGAAAAATGTAGAGACCCACATGAAGACACATTAAAATTTAAATAAAAAGGTTAAAGAGAGGGGAAACAAAACGGCGGCCGACAGACGGACTTGTTTTGACCCTGGTCTCAGAACAGATAAAAGCAGTGTCTGACTCGCTCAGGGAATATTGATTGGCAGCTAAGGGGCAGCGGAACGCTAAAGGAAGGTAAGGAAGGGTCCACTGGACAGGATTTCCTGACCAAGAAGCCAGCACTGCGGTGGCGGAGACCTCTTCCGGAGCTACAGGCTCAGAGGGAAGGCTGCGCCATCTTACCAGGAAAGGAGGATCTTCTCTGAGGCCTAGAAAACCCACAGCAGAAGAGACCGTCGAGCAGCTGTGACACCCCAATCAGCGCAAACATGTGGATTCAAGGGAGTTCTTCAATCACCCATGGAAAGGTCAGAGTCTGTGGAGATAACGTGAGGGTTCTGGTGTCCCCGCTGCACTGGCATATACTGTAGCCGCTGCATGCCCGAGCAGCTCCCCGCTCGGAGCTGCACCGAAAGAGGCTGCAGCTGCAGAGAGAATCCTGCCCTGCAAGACCCAGTGCTGGGTTTGGCGTAATCTTCCCAAAAATCGGGACTTTTTTAAAATGCCAAGGGACACAAGACAAATTGTTAAGAATCTGGACACCTTGGCACAGACCCACCCTGTACCTGATCCCCTTCACCCCCTTACTTCTGGTACTAGGGAAGGACTGCCCAGTTGAGCATATCCTGGAAGACTGCAGGGGGAAATTGCCTTCCTGAAAATGGGGGATCGGAGCGAGAAGAGACAGTCTGGGAGCCAGCAAGCACCCTGGCAGCCTACCAGGACAAAACATAGAGCCATAGAGAAAGAAGGCTAGAGTAGCCAAAAAGACTGTGAAGTCAAACCAGAAACACTGCCACCTAGGGGCTGAATTACAAACTGCCTTTTTTTGTTGTTGTTCCCCTTTTTTCCTTTTCTTTTTTTTTTATTACTTTTAATTAATCAAAAATAAATGGACACAAATAACTAATATATAGCCTACTTAAAATTAAGGACTACCTTTAAAAACTGAGGTGCAGTGGAACGCTGGAAACTGCAAGAATCAGGCATGCCAAATATTATACAATAACAGAGGAAGGGAATGACCACTACTGGATATTTTTATGCTAATTTTACTATTCTTTATTTTATTTTCAGTTTTTACATCATTTATTTTATTTTCATTTTTTACTTCTTTTACTTAAGAAACAAATTTTTTTCTTTTTTCCTTACTTGATTTTACCTTTTCAATTATTACATTTTTCAATCTCAATCATCATTATTACTACTGCTATTTTGCATTTTTTGTTTCCATTTCCTTCTTTTTTTTTTTCTTCAGTACCATTTTATTTTCTCTTTATTTTACATTGGGATTAGTCTTCATTCTATTTTAATCTCTATATAGCATCATTCAACTCTATCTCAATTCAACCTTTAGACTATCACTGACTTACTAAGCTTTACCCTTTTTGTCTCCTGTTTATCTTATCCCTTTCTGGCTTTAGTTTTTCCCTATTCTTTCTGTATGCCCCCTGCTAAAACTCTCACCATACTTATAGACCTAATTTCCAACCCCCTGATCCAAGTGTATAAATACCACTCTCTACACGATATTAACTAGTTAAAAAACAAAAACAAAACTGTTCTCCTCTCTATCCTTTTGTCGTTGTTTGCGTCAATGTCGTTGTATAGTGAATTTTTATGCTTTTTAGTGAAATTATTATGCTTGTTCTATGTTGTTATTGTTGCTTTGTATTTTTTAAAATCCTTTGTTTTTGTTTGTTTTTTACTTCTGTTTATCATAGCCTTGCTTAATAATAGTGGATATTGTAGTTTGTATTAATCTCCAAGTATTGTTGCTGGCATTTGCTGGGATTAGTGGTTGTTCTATGGGAATTTTCTCCACACATATATATAGTTTGTTTCCCCTTTCTCTCTTTGTCTGCTTCTTGTCTCTCTCTCTCTCTCTCTCTCTCTCTCTCTCTCTCTCTCTCTCTCTCTCTTTCTTTCTCTCTCTCTTTTTCCCCCTGTTTTCCAACTTCATTTCGACATTACTTTTTTTCTTTTTTCTATCTCTTTATTTATCCCTCTTTTTTTTAACCTTTCTTCTTTCTCTCCTATCCCCTAATTTGCCTTTCTCTAGTGGTCACCTTTATTAGAGGTTATTAATATCGCAAATACATTCCTATTAAGTGCCTTTTGTGTTGTACCTGGTAGTGTTGTATTTTGTGCCTTTAAATCAATGTAGGAGAAGGAACACCACATAACCAGACATCCTGAAAAGAGAGACCATGGGGAGACAAAGAAATAGCCCACACATGAAAGAAAAGCAGTACCAGAAATAGTGGTTGAGATACTCAAACAAACGGGAAAGTGGGCAAGATTGTCCTGTTCCAGTTGGGACTTCCATAGTTGAAGTTTACGCTGGAATGCTGTGATCATGTCAGACATCTTCGTGATGACTTGTTTGCGTCCCTGCAGCTTCAGATTCAGTTGGGCGAGATGCTCGCATATGTCACACATCATAGCAAAATCACATAGCCAGGCGGGATCCGACAGTTCAGGCAAGGGCTTTCCTTTACTTTCCATGAAAAGAGCAATTTGTTCTCTGAGCTCAAAAAATCTTTTGAGGACTGCGCTCTTGCTCAGCCATCTTACTTCTGTGTGGTATGGCACGTCTCCATGCTCTGCACCCACCTCCTGTAAAAACTGCTGGAACTGGCGATGATTCAGGCCACGTGCCCGTATAAAGTTAATAGTTTTAATGACTGTGGTCATTATGTCATTCATGTCCAGAACTTTTCCACACATTGCCTCTTGGTGGATAACGCAATGATAAGTAATCAAGGGTGTGTGGCAGTGACTTTTTTGCATTCTTTCCTTCATTAGTCCAACCAAGCCTTTCTTTTCTCTGCACATTGAAGGTGTGCCATCGGTAGTTAGCCCCACCAACTTTTCCCAGGGTAATTTAAAATTATTTATAGATTTCTCCACAGCCTCAAATATATCTCTACCAGTCGTCGTCCCATGCATGGCAGCTACATCCAAAAGTTCCTCAGTGACAGAGAGGTCGGTCTTCGTAGCACGCATAAAGATGGACAGCTGCGCTGTATCAGTGTTGTCTGTGCTTTCATCGATAGCAAGTGAAAAAGCGAGATAACTGCATGCCTGTTCGGCCAGCTGTGATGATAGATTTCCTGAGAGTTCTTGAACTCTATCTGCAATGGTGTTTCTTGACAAACTGACATTTTGAAAACTCTGTATCTGGTCTGGGCATACTTGCTCACAACTTTTAGCATGCATTGCTTCAAAAAGGCACCCTCTGAAAAACACCTTGAAGTACGGGCAATTTCTTCAGCCACTATAAAGCTTGCTTTCACTGCAGCATCATTTTTCGCTGTAGCCTTTGTAAACATTTGCTGCTGTGATTGTAGTTTGCCTTTTAGTTCTTTAACAATTTTATGCTTTTCTTCCAAAGTATATTTGCCATACTTAACATTATGTTTGGTGTCAAAATGACGACGTATATTGTACTCTTTCATCACCGACACTGTCTCATAACACAATATACACACTGGTTTGCCCTCTCTAAGCACAAACATGTATTCATTTTCCCATTTGTCATTAAATTGTCTGCCTTCACCATCAACTTTTCTTTTCCTGGACATTTTGGGATCAATATTGGCAGTAAAAGATGTAGTTTATTGGAAATCTGCGTTAGAAGGAAAAAGTTGAAAACTGCACAGGGATAGCTTGATTTGGCAGATGGAGTGGAGAAAAAAAAAAGTCAGTCAATAAATGCCTGGCTGGGTACAGATAGCAGATTCTGTTGCGATTTTTATGCCTGCACTTTATGCCAGGAACTGGCAGCTTCTGCTGTGTATTTTTTATGCCCGCACACTCACTCTCTCCTCTGCTCTGCCACCCGCACAACCACATTGGATGCCGGACTATAGGTCACGCCTCCTGAATCTTGCATGACTTGTTATCTATGTTCATGCGTAATAGATAGCAAGTACGGCGGCTGGCGAGGCGGCCGGTGAGATCACAAGCCTCCTATGTCACCGCGCGTCATTCTGATGGAACGCAGCGGAGTGCAGTGATGACAGCACGGTGCGGGCCACATTGCAAGGCCTGGCGGGCCGGATTTGGCCCGCAGACCTTGTGTTTGACATGTGTGATTTAGATGGACACTTGAGCTTACTAGTTAGCGTACTTTGAAAGGGAAATAGAGACAGAGGGAGGATCCACAATGTATTATTGTTAGAGGGAACATGATTGGGGATTCACTGAGGAGGAAGTGAATATGTGAACTCTCTTCAGGGAAACTTACTGGTGGACATCTGAATTTCAGTTGCTGAGTCCAACAATATGAAATTCATCATAATGCGTATAGTAGGAACTTTGGCACTTCTGGTAGTGCTGATTTGCATCACCACTGGGATTTATTTAAACAACCGTCTAAAAACTGCCACAAAGGGCCCACCGCTCCTGCCCTGCAGCACACGCCCTGCCAGAGCTAGAGTCGTTGGCACCATGGCAGACCTGTACCAACGGCTGTCTGAGCTGTCCGAGCTGTACGAAGAGATCAACGAACTGCAGATGGAGGTGGGCGGCAAACTGTACGAAGAGAGCAAAGACCTGCAGATGGACTTGGTGGCCGGCAAGGGTGACCTGCTGCAGATGGAGTTGGGCGTTGGGAACTGGCAGCCATCCTTGAGCCACCTCCACAACAGCGGTCCGCTGCAGCCGGAGGAGGAAGGCTCTATGGAGGAGGAGGGGGCCCAGGCCATAGCAGCAGTGGCAAAGGTGGCGGAGGCGGCGGTGCTGGCGGCGGTGCTGGCGGGGGAGGTGGTGGCGGAGGGCCGAGGCCTTGCAGGCCGGCTGGGCCCAGGGGAGCTGCAGGTGTTCGCCCACCCCTACTTTGATGACGATGACTGGGCGCAGCTGCGGGGGGCGGCCCTGGACAAAGTCAAAAAGTTATTTATGAGAAAGTCCAGCGCCGGGGAAACGAAGGCTGTGGATGGTGGCTTCCAGATGAATTATGAAAACACCCTGTTATACAAGATGGTGCTCCTCCAAGTGCTTATTTCACTTAGAATTGTCAGTCTTCAGGCTGAAGAACTCAACTGCGATGAGATTATTGCCAAAGAGTAGTTCAATGTGGTTCAAGAGGAAGAGACTACTTGAGGGGAGGCCCTGCATTCCACTGTCTCTTGAGTTTATTCCAAATAGTTCCGTGCCAATGAAAAACTTGGTCTTCAAAGAAAAAAAAAAAATTTTTTTTTGTTTTGTTTTGTTTTTCAGAATAGAATAGGGCAGTGACTGCACAGTTGTGAAAAAAAAAGGGGTGGTGGTAATAACTGTTAGAGAAAAAGGATGTTAGGACTGTTGAAACCTGTTTGTCCTGAAACACCCATGGCTTTGACTTTGTGATTGATCCAGAGTCTCTTCTTTGCATTGGGAAAAATGACTTCCACATCTACCATAAGGAATGCTTTTGCGGGGGAAAAAACAAACAAACAAACAAAAAAAAACATTCCTTACGGTTTGCAGCAACCTGGATAGAATTAGAGAACATCATGCTGAGTGAAATAAGCCAGTCAATGAAAGAGAACTACCACATGATCTCACTCATTTATGGATATTAAAGAACATTATAAATTGATGAACCAAAAGACAGATATAAAGACAGTAAAGCAACAAGCAGACTGTCAAATTAAAGCGGGGAGGGTAGAGAGATCTGGGGGAGATAAGAGATCAACCGAAGGACTTGTATACCTGCATATAAGTACAACCAATGGACACAAAACTCTGGAGAGGGAGGGTATGTATGGGGGGAGGGGCAATGTTAAAATATGTACACAGATAATAATTTAATTAAAAAATAAATAAATCAATCAAAAAATAAAAAGGAATGGTTTTGCAAGAATACATCATGACTAAGACAAACTGCTAGCCAGTACAAGAGACCACTGATACTAAATACGCAAGAAAAAGTAATGTATCCAGTGTAAGACACCAGATGTATTTTGAGTTTATTGGACAGAAAGCCTATTGAGAAAACTTTGAAAATTCCACTTTGTGGTCTATTCAAGCTATAGGTATCTAAGGACTTTTTTTTTTTTTTTTAGTATATAATAATAAGGTGAGTGTTCTTAGTATCCCAGAAGAAAAAGCAAATCCCAGAAGAAATAGGTATCATGTGTACTACATCTTAACATGTTTCTAAGAGCATCTGAAATTTTATTTGTACATGTATCTTGATCATTTATAAAGCTGTTGTGATCTGTAATTCAAGAAATTCATTATCTTGACCATTATTTTTAAAAGTAAAAAAATGAAATCCTTAGTAAATTTTCAAATTCAGACATTAAAATGTATATGAAAATATAAAGAAATCTATTTCTTTTTTTAAATTATTTTTTATTATTTTATTATTTTTTATTGATTTTTTACAGAGAGGAGAAGAGAGAGATAGAGAGCTAGAAACGTCGATGAGAGAGAAACATTGACTAGCTGCCTCTTGCACACCCCCTACCAGGGATGTGCCTGCAACCAATGTACATGCCCTTGAACGGAATCAAACCTGGGACCTTTCAATCTGCAGACCGATGCTCTACCACTGAGCCAAACCAGTTTCATCTAAAGAAATCTATTTCTAATAACCTCCAGATCCTAGAGAAATTTTGTTTTACCTTTAACTTTACAGGGAAAAAACTGGTGGAACTTCATCATGAAAGAGCTGTTAAGTGAAAATTGTCAAGTAAAAGAAAGACACTACATTTAAAAAAGACTCTATGAACAGTTATGCCATCAACTTTAAAGGGTTTCAAACCTATCCAGAAATTTCTGAAGTTTCCCTCTGTCTCCTCCTCTAATTAAGCTTGTTATTTGTTATGCACCAGCATTTGAGATAAAACAATTTCTTGTTCTGTGGGGGGGAAAAGAATAAAATAAATTAATAAATAAAATAAAAACTGCCCAAAAAACAGGTACACTTATTCTTTTTCTTTTTCCCCCCAGTATACAATCATCCCTTTTCAGAGGTATCTGTCCTTCACCTTTCTACTTAGCAACAAGATCAAAATCAGCAAAGGCTCTGCTCAAAGGAAGTCACATCAATGAGACTGATACCTCATAAAATCCTATATGATAAAAGGGTAATATGCAAATTGTCCCCTCCACCTAGAGTTTGACCACAGGTCAACCAGAGGACAGGGCCAGTCCACCAACCACCCAGGACCCCCTACACACAGACTGGCCAACCTCCCACATCCCCTTCCCCTGACTGACCTGGCCCATCCCTCTCAGCTCCAATTGGGGTGGGCCAGTCCTAGCCTGAATATGCACAAATTTGTGCACCAGGCCTCTAGTATGACAAATAATATGTTACTTATAGAACTTTGGTGGATTAAAGAAAACAACTTTCATAAAGCATCCTTGCCTTGCACCAACACAGAGACATTCAATGAAAGGCTATTACTATTCTTGTTATTGTTATTATTAATATTGCGAGAGAAGCAGGAAGATAGAAAAGAATAGAAAATTGATGGAGGGACCAAATATTCATGATATACTAGATATGCATGAAGCACTCATTTATGAGGTCTTAAATTGATCACCCATGGGAAATACTCATTCTGGCATCATCCATCTCTTGCCCAAGAAATAAGAGTAAAATCTATAGGTGTTTATTAGGACAACAAAGAGCTACAGCTATGCTTTGTATGTATAATCATCCTGCAAGTATGGGTATTGCCCTCAGGTAACACATTACTGAGCCTCCTTGTTCAAGATCCTTTAGTCTATAAAATCACACAATCAGCAATGAGGATTGATGAGGCAGAGAAAAACAGGAACTATGAACAAAGCTCAGAATAGGATTTGCACAGTGTGCTTGCCAACTCTCCTAGTGTGTTAATGTAAATCATCTCTTACCTTGGCTTTTTGCTATATC